GAATGGAGCAAGGAATTCATCTGCAACATCTAGGAGATAATAAGGTGATAGGTGACACCCCGTATGGATTTGTAAAGAACAAATCATGTCAAACCAATCTGACAGCTTTCTTCGATTGGATAACAATCTTTATGGATAAGGGAGAAGTGGTGGATGTGGTATACTTAGACTTCAATAAAGCATATCACATGGTCTTACATGATCTTCTTAACAATAACCTAGGGAAATGCAATCAGGATGGGGCTACTATAAGGTGGGTGCATAACTGGTTGGATAACAATTCTCAGAGTAGATATTAACTGTTAGAAGTGTGTGACAAGCGGGGTTCCGCAGGAATCTGTTTTGATACCGGTTCTGTTCGATATCTTCATCAACCATTTAGATATTGACATAGAGGGTACGCTCATTAAGTTTGGAAATGATACCAAGATAGGAGGGATTTGAGAGTGCTTTGGAGGATAGGATCATAATTCAAATTGATCTGGAAAAAGTAGAGAAATGGTCTGGGGTAAATAGGATGAAGTTGAATAAGGACAAACGCAGGGGCTATGTCTAGACTGCAGGCTTCTTTCGAAAGAGGCTCTTTCGAAAGCATCTTTCGAAAGAGCCTCTTTCGAAAGAAGCCTGCAGTCTAGACATAGCCCCTGCGTTTGTCCTTATTCAACTTCATCCTATTTACCCCAGACCATTTCTCTACTTTTTCCAGATCAATTTGAATTATGATCCTATCCTCCAAAGCACTCTCAAATCCCTCCTATCTTGGTATCATTTCCAAACTTAATGAGCGTACCCTCTATGTCAATATCTAAATGGTTGATAAAGATATCGAACAGAACCGGTATCAAAACAGATTCCTGCGGAACCCCGCTTGTCACACACTTCTAACAGTTAATATCTACTCTGAGAATTGTTATCCAACCAGTTATGCACCCACCTTATAGTAGCCCCATCCTGATTGCATTTCCCTAGGTTATTGTTAAGAAGATCATGTAAGACCATGTGATATGCTTTATTGAAGTCTAAGTATACCACATCCACCACTTCTCCCTTATCCATAAAGATTGTTATCCAATCGAAGAAAGCTGTCAGATTGGTTTGACATGATTAGTTGTGAGGAGGAAACAAGAAGTCATTCCTCCGCTCTGCTCGGCGCTGATTAGGCCTCAAGTGGAGTATTGTGTCCAGTTCCGGGCATGATATTACAAGAAAGATGTGGAGAAATTGAGAAGGTTCAGAGAAGAGCAACAAAAATGATGAAAGGTCTAGAGAACATGACCTGTGAGGGAAGGCTGAAGGAATTGGGCTTGTTTAGTTTGAAAAGAGAAGACTGAGAGGGGACCCAATAGCAATTTTCAAGTCTCTAAAAGGGTGTCATAAGGATGAGAGAGAAGAATTGTTCTCCTTGGCCTCTGAGGACAGGACAAGAAGCCATGGGCATAAACTGCAGCAAGAAAGGTTTAGGTTGGACATTAGGAAAAACTTCCCGCCTGTAAGGTGAGGGGGCTTAGGAGGGTACACTGGAATCCTCGTGTGGCAATGCATCTGGCCAACTGTATGGGGGGTCGGGACATAGTCCAACCCATAACTGACCCCTCCCCGCAAAGATCCCATGTACTTCCTAGAAGCAAAACTCAATTGCTTTGTAGCAGAACGGCTACTTTTCAAATACATAACTTGGTTTCTAGTATTTCTACCCCAGCTCACCATCTAAAGAAGTGGGTTTTGCAAGCGAAAGCTAATAATAATTTAAAGAAATATGTGTTACCCTTTAAGGAGCCACAGGACTACGTCTTTTTAAATATATTCAAGTTTGTGAGGTGCTCAGAGTTGCTACGTTGATGAGGGTCATAGAAAGATGCATCAACATTTTTCACCCTGTAATAAGCTAGGCAAGTCTAGTTACTCGCACTCATCAGAGATGGACAAAATACATATTTTCATGCCTGTCCATTAGCACTCTGCTTTGAAAATGCTGCCTCTGGATAGTTTGACTGAGTAGAGGTAAGTGCATGTTGTCGAGACTGGCAGATTTCCTTCCTTGAAACATTTCCTCCATTCTTCAAGGCATATCCTCATGGAGCATGGGAAGTGAAAATAAAGTTGCAAACCCACATTCTTATGTTTAAAACAATTTGTATTGATGGTACAGAGAAGGACGAGGGAGCCAAAGAGTGAAGAATCTATTTCCTCTTCCTGTGAGCATCAGCATACACGGAAGTATCATATAGGTTCTGTGATATTAACAAGAGATGCTAAGATCTCCATGTCTGGGAGTGGGGAGATTCCAGTCCCTTAACCCACGGGTACCAAACTATAGAAAGGGTTTTGAAAAGCAAAGGTCTACACATCAGTGACATATCTCTCTCATTGCCCTAGCACAGTGTGTTGGAAATCACCTCTCTCCTCCTCATGCCTTGACACAAAGCAGGTGACAATATATAGAAGAAGCCTGCAAAACACAGAAAGGGTTACAGAGTCGCAGGAAGCCGAGAAAAATCCCTTTGGTTCCCCCCACAGTAATCACACACATCACTCTTACAACTGCCCAATGAAATCAACACGGCTGGAAAGAAGAGGGAGCTACATTTGATGCCCCCTTTCTTTCTTAACGCAGTCAGCTTGCAGTTTTCAAACCACATCACCTAGATCATTACGTGCACACTAGGGCAATATTTGAGAAAATCCCTGATCTCACTGGAGACCTGAAAACCATGTTGCAGTACAGACACATGTACAATAACAACATAATAACAAAGTGATGTCATTTCACACAGCCCATGGGGGTATTCCATGGGTTGCAAACTCAGTTGTCCCATTTCCAGTGCCCATGCGTCAACCAGCACTGAGATCAACAGATTCAAGACTGAGTTAGGAGTTTATTGATGGTTTTCCTCAGGGCGTCCTTCACCTCCCTGTTCCTCAGGCTGTAGATGAGGGGGTTCAACATGGGGATCACCAACGAGTAAAACACTGAGGTTATTTTGTCGGTGTCCATGGAATAGCTGGAGGGAGGACGTAAATACATGAAGAGTTGGGTGCCATGAAACATGCCCACCGCGCACAAGTGGGAAGCGCAGGTGGAGAAGGCTTTGCACCGGCCTTTGGCAGAATGGATGCGCAGGATGCTGGAGAAGATACAGACATAGGACAGGAGGATGGTCACTGCACTGCTCACTATGATGTAGCATGTGGAGGCAAACATCACAATCTCTCTGATGCGGGTGTCAGAACAGGAGAGTGCCAGGAGTGGGGGGGAGTCACAATAGAAATGCTTGATAACATTGGAGTGACAGAATGACAGTTGAAATGTAAAACACGTCAGTATCACTGAATCCACCAACCCCACAGCAAACACTCCAGCCACCAGAAGGTTACAACGCTGCCTGGACATGATGACCATATAGAGCAGCGGGTTACAGATGGCCACATAACGGTCGTACGCCATCACAGCCAGCAAGAGACACTCGATATCAATGCAATAAAGGAAGAAAAACAATTGCACAGCGCAAGCAGCGTGAGAAATGATTTTCCTCTCCGCTAAGAAAATCTGCAGCATCTTAGGGGCAATCACTGTGGAGCAGCAGAGATCACAGAAAGACAAACTCCGGAGGAAAAAGTACATGGGGGTGTGGAGTCGGGGGTCTGTCGTGATTAAGAAGATCATCCCCCCGTTGCCCACCACAGTGATAACATACATCAGTAGGAACACCCCAAAGAGCGGGACCTGCAACTCTGGACGATCTGTCAGGCCTGAGAGAATGAACTCAGTCACTTCCGAGTGATTTCCCTCTTCCATCTCCTCTGAGCCGAGATCAGGCAGCTATAGGGATGTGGACAAGTGGATGCGTTGGGGAACGTGTCCCTTCGCTCTAATGAAGTAAGCGATGAAAAATGGAGGTTAGTTTCTCAATAGGTAGCAGTTCTAGATCAGGGAAGGGTTTAAACCACAGAGCCGTTAGTTCACAGGTGGGCATTCCACTTGTTTGGTCAATTTCACACACTGCACACCTACAAGGGCATGAAAGTTAGTCATCCCCGCACACAAACACTCCTGTTCTCTGTTCTGAGCAGCAAATAGGGACTTGTGACTTTGTTGTGAGACAATCAGGGTGAAACCATCTGTGTCTAAGGAGATTATTGCTTATCATGAAGTGCTGAGGGTAAACAAGCATCAATCTCTCCATCCTCTTTGGGCAAGAGGAGCTCTGTGGCTCAGCATGTCGGTTTTGGGAGAAACTTGCTCCTTGTGATAATTAAGCTCTCTGGCATCTCATAACAGTATTGCCATTAGTCTGTATAAACCCCCTGAGAGGTAAAGACAGGAAGGCATCGGCTTCTGTGACTAAATAATCGCCTATTTTTTCCAAGCAAATTTCTCATCCTTTAAATCAATAGGCAGTAGCTGGGACTTCTCTCAGAGACGCTGTCCGTGTGGGTGTGTGAGTCTTACAGAGGACAACAGCACGTACCTGCGCATAAGACAGAGAGAGACGTGCCGGCGTTTCTCCATCGATAGAAACTGACTCTTTGGTGCAATTGGGAGATTTTATTCTCAGATCTGTGATCTATGGGACAGGATCCTGGGAGCCACTGGGAATACCTGAGCTCGGGGAAACAACAACAAATTAACGAGCTCCATGAATCTCAGCAATAGAACTAATACCCTGGGGATTAATTTCTCACCTTCTTTTGCCCTTGTGCCAGTAAGGGATGCAATTTGTATCAGAGTTGCAGAGTCCAAGCCTGAGGGATATTTCATTCTGCTCTTGTCACTGCAAGGTGGGTCCTGTGTAGAGCTGACCCAGAAAGGGTGTGTTTGTGGAGACCAACTACTTTCAGCTCAGAAACTAAACACACAGGGATGCCCCAGGTAGGACATCCCATCCTTCTCTGCCATGGGCCCAGATCCCAGGCTGGACTCCATCCCCTCTGATGCAAGATGGTCTGTCCTCCTGCACCCCGGAACATCACTAAAGTTCCCATTCTAGCCAGACTATGAGTGTAGGATTCGCTTTTTTTGAAGGGAAACTAGATTTCCATGTAAATCTAGTTGAAACGAAAATCCAATTTCCCACTTTAAAAAAATCTTTTAAGGAACAAATTTCCTGAGCACCGCGTTTGGACACAAAAGAACATAACTTCCCATTTCCACATGCGGTCGGCCTGACTTCCAATTTGCCAGGGGCAAGGACTGGTGGAGGAGGTGCACATAATGGTGGCGATTTGAGGGAGTGTGTCCGCTTGCTTGCCACCTGTGGCTTGGCCCAAAACCTCCTGCTGGAGGCTTTGGGCCTGAACACACCTTCCCCAGGCCAAAGAGCAGATGTGGGGTCCTCCAGGGATGCTAGAGAGGCTGCTTCTGCTTCAGCCAATCAGGGCCCAGTATAAAGAAGCTCTCTGGAACTCAAGCCAGGCAGCAGTTCCTCGGACAGCTCCAAGTTGGGGCCTGTTTGTAGAGTCAGCTGAAGCCCAAGTCCTGTGGCTGAAGACCGGCCGTGTTGGGCTAGGGTGAATTGCAGAACCCTGGACGGGGTACAGTGAGGAATTTCTCTCAAAGCCCGGAAAGAGGGCAAGGAGAGGGCAGCTTCAGTGGGCAGTAAGGACACTTAGTGGGCCAGTGCTATTTCTGGTGTCCCAGAGCCAGGATCCAGTGGCGTGGGTGGGGCCATAGATCCCCTCAGCTCCTTGTAGCTACAGAAGTGGGTAGGAAAGAAACCTGGTCCCAGGCAACTCAGAAGAAAGGGTGTCTGGGATCCTTCCACACCCAGAGCCAGTGGGAGGAGAGGAGTTTGTGGAGACCTCTCCTCAGCCAAAAGGGGGCACTTGCGAGAGGTGAGCCCTTTACACCCCCATTTGCTCCTCCTGATCCTCATCCCTTGACACAGTGACCAAGACACAAAATGAAACAAGGGGTGGGTGAAACTTTCCGCACACAGTGCTGGTCCCTTTCTTTTTCCAGGAATTTTGGGATGAACTAAACAGTTGGCAGGGGAGAGGGAGAAGTGGTGGGACTGAAATGATTCATGCAACCCAGAATCACACATTTTTTTGGGTTGAGTTTTCAATTCACCAGAATTTTTGTCTGCTTTTGGTTTCGGTAAATGAATTTTTTCCCCCCACAGCAACCTGACAAGTTAGTTCCAGGTCCAATTCTATCCATGTCCCCTTCACAGAGCTCTGAGTCATGAAGTTCCCTGAACACCTGCTCTTCAGAGTCTACCGTGTTTTTCCAGTAGACCCAAGAGAAGGGAATGACTGTGAACAAGGTGATGTTGGGTGTGATGTGACTTCTGTGTTTATTTCTCTTCTAGAAGGAACACCCCAACCCTGAATGCCATTTTGGTATTCAGTCCAATGCAGATTGCCCACAAGCAATGCACTCTCATAGAAATATTATATACGTTCTTCTTGGTTTGTAGTTCTCTAAATCTATAATACAGGCCATTCTGATGTATGGCATTGTTCCACACTGGCTGCATAGGCAGCACACCAGGCAGACAGGAGAGGGAGATGGCTGAGGTGTCCCAGTTTTTATCCCAGCACAGAGCATTGAGCGCTTACAAAGCAGATTACTTGTATTACTATATTTCTACATTAGCTATGAATACCTCTATAAGACTCATAGCCCCTTAGTGCCTACTGAAGCAATGCCTGCGAAACCTGACACACTCAGTGCATCTAATATATAGCTGGCCTTCAAAAAGCCTGGTGTGACAGAACCATCACAGGGCTGTGGCCAGGTACCAATAACATGCTCCTACGTGAAAGCAAATTGTCCAACCCAAACAAACGTTGGTTTGCCTTGGGAGGCTGGAAGGCCACCAGCCAGTTGGATCGAAGCTGAACGCTGGTAAATACAAAGCTGGAACCCGTCTGGCTCCCCCGTGTGTTGCTGAGTTTCAAAGAGATATTCGATGTATATGAATGTGTTTAAAGCTTAGACTCCATGAATTGCGGTTAAGTTGCTGCCGGCATTAATATCACTCCTAGCACCTGCAGTACCACTGGTGGGAAGAGCAAAGAGGGCAACTTCCCTGGGTCCCGGCTATTCAAAAAGGCCTTAAGCTTCCAGCTCCCAAGTTATATGAAGCAGAAAAAAAAGGTACCTGTCAATTGTAGGACTGATGCCAGTGAGGCTAATTAAGTGGGCTGGAAGTGTCCCCTCCTCCCTTTGGATGTAACAATGCAGTTGTTAGAGGTGGTAGACACTGGCTGTAGCGGGCGACATCCAGTTAATGTCTTTGATCAAGCCCAGGGAACCAGGGTCATATTTGCAGAGGAATGTCAATCCTGAATTCTCCCTCTGTGATCGGCTGCTGAAATTGACATAAAAATATCCTATTTCCTGATTTTGATGACATTCTAAGCATGAATGTGCTACGTCTCAGTGTGTTTGATGCTGTACACTCTGCCAAACCATCTGGGAGCAGAAATTTATTGAGATGTTTACGGTTACCACTGTGTTTCTACTTCTGCAGTAGCTATTGTAACATAACAGAGGGAAGAAATGTCATGATCTGCTCTTGTGACATTCGGTTTGTAACCCTTGTTATGTGTGAGAGGAAGGAACGTGTGGGAGATAAGCATGAAGGACACCACCGTACCAGAGATGCTAAAGGGGGGATCCAAAAGTGGGGGAGGAGGTGTCACAGATAACTGCATGGCGATCTGCGCTCTTTGGATAACCCAGAACCCTAAGGAATAGGGTGAGAATTTATCAACTGGGACGTGATATCTGTGATGGTAACCAGCTTAGCCTGGCAGCACAAAAAAGAGAAGGAGCAAGGGAAGCAAAGGAGATCCCAACCTTCCCTCAGAAAAAGAGCATGGCCGTGCAAAACTCCCCAATCCCAATGGAGGAAAACTGCTATGTAAAGGGGGTGCTTTGCCATAGTTGTGGGGGTACAGCCTGCCAAAGACTGGAGCATCGGTCTGCACTGATAGACCCCCACTCCTCTGTGTGTAAGCAATATAGTTGGTCCTGGACATGGACATGTGGGACTGTGTGTGTGTTTGTCTGTCTGTGTATGTGTATGATAACTGCTTTGCCTTGTATTCTCAATAAACCCAGCGTATTGCCTTTCCCCCCTAAAACCCACTCCACCCATGTGTGGTCCCCTCTGTGGCTGAGGGATGTCAGGTAAGTTTTTGCCTGGCTGTTTGGTAGCTCCCTGGCTCAGTTCCCCCGGAGGCTACCCTGGTCTGGTCATCACAAGGATCTGAGGCCAGGATCTCACTAGCCCTGTCCACAGTGTTATGAGTTCTTATATTTAGCATAGGGCCAGTCTTCTGCCACTGGACTTGGGCCTCCCCTAGCTCTAGAGTTCAGCTTACACGTGGAGCTGTCCATGGTGCTGCTTTTCTCCCCGTCAGTATATAGATCTGCCTTGGTGGAGCTCCTGTGAGGAACTGCCAGGTGCTAGGCTAGAAGCTTCTTTTAAACTGGTCTGCTGGGCCCTGATTGGCTGACATGGAGACAGCCACTCTCTCCAGAATGGAGGATCTCTCTTCTGCCCCTTTCACTGGGATGGAGTATGGCAAGGCCTCTGGCCTCCTGTAGGGAGCATTTGGACCTGGTCCACCTGATAACCCCCCTCCCACATATAAACATCCCATGTGCTTCCTATAAGCTTTGTAGAAGAACGGCTACTTTTCAAATACATAACTTGGTTTCTAGTATTTCTATTCCAGCTCACCAGCTAAAGAAGTGGGGTTTGCCCCCGTAAGGTCATGATAATATAAAGAAATATGTGTTACCCTTTAAGGAGCCACAGGATGACTTATTTTTAAATACGT